ATAAATCATGCTGTTGTTACACATATATTCAACATAGAAAAGGCCAGCATCCCAGCACTATGGGGATAGCATAGAGTCAGTTGCTTACATACTATGGAGTTATGTAGGCCATCCGGGTGCTGCTCATGTACATATTTTGCCATACTAAGAATTCAGACATTCTACTTGCCTTGCATACACATTTAGCCTACTACGTAGTAGGCAAGTAGCCAATTTCGGACACACCCTTTCTGTAGAGGTGAGCTACAGGCTTTACTGGACAGTTTTTGGTGAAGTTTTGCTGGAGTGGTGAGAGGCTCTTGCTCGAATGTGTCTTTTGAATCCTTTCTAACCCTTCTGTAACTGAACTGAAGTAGATGTGATTGTTCTCTGGGGCTCACTGAGGCAGCTGGCAAAAATGGTTCTGAATGTCCTGCAGTGTTGGCTGTGGGTACCCAGCGGCTGTAACGTGTCTTCTAGAGTAGGGCAGATGTTCATGTAGAACCAGGGAGGTGGTTAGCTGAGCACTGGGAGACGGTCAGCCAAAGGAGGTGAATCCTTCAAACTTGTTATTGTTGATGGTTTAATTTGTTGTAGAAATGAGCTGAGTGAGAATTGGACATTCTGAAGTTGCGTGCACAGAAAATGAAACAAGTAGGCTAGTTTAGTCAAAAATATAGATTTTTTTCCTATACATATCAATTCTGAATATTTGAAAAAGTTTCATTATTAATTTCCCATGGTATCAATAGAGTGACACCATCTGCACTTTCCCGTTCTCTCATCTCTTCGACAGCAATTTTAGGCACACACACTGTTGCAGTGCCCACAGCTACGCCTCCTCTCACTCACTCACAGGGCTGTCTGCCTTGTCACTTATCTTGCTCCAGTTGAATTTCAAGCTAACAACAGATGGTATAGGTTTTGCTGTGGTGTTAACTCACTACAGATGACAAGAGCAGCGCCTCTGCTATAGGTTTTGGTTGACAAAGAAAACAGCAAAAACAGGACTGCTCTTTGCGATGCTACAGAGCAGTGCTAAGTTAGCACTGCTAAAATTAGGTGCTAGAACAAATAATTCAGCAACGTACCTGAACAATCGACACGCCAACATCTTTAGTAAGTTTGGCAACAGCTCTCATTTCAGCAAAAGTGAAGCACTAAACATGACAACCCAGTAAACTGTTGTGTGTTGTCCTTTTATTGGTCCAACTGTAATTCCCAAAACTAAGCTAATCCCCTACAGCGCTATCAGGCCTGTGGAATCTCAGACAGCAGATTGTCACATATGCTTAATACAGCATAAGTTACAATCTCAGAGGCTCTTGCATGGCTACTGCCTCAAGAACATTGTACAGTGGGTACGGAAAGTATTCAGACCCCCTTAAATTTTTCACTCTTTGTTATATTGCAGCCATATGCTAAAAGCATTTAAATTCATTTTTTTCCTCATTAATGTACACACAGCACCTCATATTGACAGAAAAACACAGAATGTTTGACATTTTTGCAGATTTATTAAAAAAGAAAAACTGAAATATCACACGGTCATAAGTATTCAGACCCTTTGCTCAGTATTTAGTAGACGCACCCTTTTGAGCTAATACAGCCATGAGTCTTTTTGGGAATGATGCAACAAGTTTTTCACACCTGCATTTGGGGATCCTCTGCCATTCCTCCTTGCAGATCCTCTCCAGTTCTGTCAGGTTGGATGGTAAACGTTGGTGGACAGCCATTTTCAGGTCTCTCCAGAGATGCTCAATTGG